GGGGGCTACGTACGCACGAGGTGACGAGAGTCCGTGCGTAGCTACTAATATGTGTAAGTCCGTGTAGTCTAGGACCCAAAAGGCATGCTATACTTGGAATAATTGCAATCTTATTGACAGTTGAACTTCTTAAATCCTATCGAATTGGTAAAAAAATTTCCAAGAGGATTAAACTTTATTCCTTAAATCATTAAAAGAGAATTGGCTTCTAATGGGGTAAATATTCCCCGTAAAATTCTTAATTTGTTGTTGAGCATGTGTCTCTATGTGTACCTGCGCGCATGTATGGTACGCGAGCAGGGTGATTGTTTATTTAAATTTGACAGCGTCGCATGTATGATTCGCGAGCGGGGAAATAGATGCATCTATGGTTTGGGCCGCTCGACCCTCGGCAGTGCACATTTTAAATATTGTTGGATCGGGCCGTACGACCTCGGCATGAGTTGCGCATGCTTGTATTGCTTGCTTTGATATTTGTTGATACTAATATCTGCTCTCCCGACTTGTGATAATTGTTAATTAATGGATTATGAATCCGGAGACTTTTTAATAAAGAGGAACTTTTACCTGTTTAGTAATTCACTTGAATCTACTGTTGCTCTCAATAAATCCGTGAGTCATCGCATTAATAACATTATTACTGGACCTTTAGCAAGTGTCGAAGTTGCCATCTCGTCTCTACTTCTTCGAGATTAGGCGGGATATTTATTGAGTACACGTTGTTTTCGTACTCATACTACACTTCTGTGCATTTTTGTTGCACAGGCTCATGTACTTCTAGTGGCCTACTGGGCGTAGCAGCATGGATGATACTGAGACTAGGTGAGCTGCATTACTCCAGGCGACCCGCAGCTAGCATAGTCCCTTTCAGTATATTGTATTTACTTTCTGTCCATTTGTATTCCGGACGGATGTTGTATTGTATTGTTTCTTAGAAATAGCTCATGTACTTGTGACACCGGGTTCTGGGGATGTCTATGGGTTTATTCAGAAACTTCAAAAAGTTGCTAAATGTTTCATTATTTATTCAGTGGAATTTATTATGTATTGTTTAAACGTATAAAAGAAGTGATTTTGGAAATATTTAAAACAAGAATTTAATTAAGTATTTTGATTGGCTTGTCTGACATCGGTGTCCGGCGCCATCACGATCCTTAGTGGATTTTGGGTCGTGACACTTTAGAATGCCTATTTAATGTTTTGGAGTTCTTTTCAACTTTCAACAATAATTACAAACTTTAAATTAATATTACTGGGGAAGTGGAAGTAACTCTATACAATTTACATCAACCGTTTTTCATTATTTATTTATTTGTTAAGTTAATTCATGTTCAAATATAAAAAATGGAGAACTAAGTCAATTAAGCAATTGTTCCTCCTATCAAGCCATTGTCATTTTAACAAAAATAGTTCTTCAAATTTGGCATATCTTTCATCATCTGCAACACACAAAACCAGAATATAAGAGCCAAATTAAGTAAATTTAGTTCTTTTTCAGATACTCTTATTAGTGTTTTGCTAATTCTATAGTTTATTAAGGATATTTTACCTTGTTATGCTTCTGTGTAAAAATTCGAAGATAATTCAAATAATAAAAGGAAGTTTTGTGAAATCCATGAAACTGCACCATAAAAAAAATTTAACCTGTTGTGTGGTGCCGTTTATTTCTTTCTTCTATTTTTTCTATCAGTTCTTTAAACCTTACTAAATATATTAATTACAAAATATCGTTCATTTTCTGTTTCATTCCCTTTCCTCTTTTGCTTTTTTATTTTTCATTTTATGATTTGATAGCAATATTTTTATTTTGTTACTTTTTGAGATGTATGGATACATCATCTTCGATTGCATTTTTCATGTTCCTTTAGCATAATTTCTAAATGATCGATGTGATAAATAATCATTTAAGGTAATTTTTCTGGTGCCTTAACATACATGCAAGAACTTACATTTCATTAGAATTTAGTAAAGCTTTACATATAGTATTGCATCCAGAAATCTTTATCTAATTATGTAAATCTAATTATTTCTTAAGTACTATTTTAATAATGCATTAATTAATTGTATGTTTATTATGTGTTCTAGATTACTGTTGTGGTTCTTTATTTAAAAACTTCATCTTTTTCTTTCATTTTTACGATCATCTTTATGAATTCATCTTAGAGTTAGATAGAAAGAAGCCAAATAAGTCAGCTCACGGAGTAAAATTTCAGTAACGAATTTACCAAGATTCATTCACTCTTTCATAACGAATTTCAATAACAGAATTTCAATCCCACCTTTAACGGAACGTTTATGGGATTGAACATTCACTCTGTCTTATTTTCTTTTTTGAACTTTTTTTTTTCTTTCTGTAAAAGAAGAAAAATATTTTAACCTTTATTTAATCATATGATTTTTATTTTTTTTTTGTTTTATAGTCATTTTTATAATTCACCTTAGACAAAAGTTTGAAATATAGATCAATTTTGAGAGAATTCCAGCAAATAATATACCAAGTATTCATAAAATTTTATGGTTGACAGTTCTTTTCATCAGAATTGAACTAGTTAAAGCTTTTTCTTTTTTTGTAGATAAAATTAGTTGAATAGGTTCACCATTGATGAACTTGAGCTTATATCCTTCCTTTTTAAAATTCAGTATTATTAATTTGAGCTTATTCTTTTTTTTTTAAAGAACAAATCGGTGGAATAGGTTAACCATCAATCAATTTGAGCTTATATTATTCCTTCTAAAATTTCATGTCACATACATATTTTAATATTATCTATATTACTTTTAAAAATTATATTAATTGATCGTGCAACACACGTGTTCAGAAACTAGTATGTATGTATATATATTGTCCAAAAACTAGTATATATATATATATATAGGCCAAATACATCGGCAGCCCTTAAAGTTGTTCTCACTTTTCATTAAACACTTTATTTTAAGACAGTTTCATTGGAACACTTCCAATCATATCTCAAATGTGTTATTTAAACACAACTTGATGATGTGGCATAGCGTCGTGTATTACATTATTTTCCTGAACGTGAGACATCATTATTTCTATTTTTCATTTTTTTTTACTTTCTTTTTCCTCCTATTCTTTGGCACATCATCGTCCAGTCACCCCCTTCCCCTCTCTTTCTCCCTTTTATTGCCGGAATTAATGGAGATCGCCGGAAAGATCCCACTATCACCACCAATAAAGAAGCTCTCACCCAATCTGTTTCCTTCTCGAGAAATTGGGCAAGAATCCCCACTATCGCCGGGTTACTTCGAACATTTTAGAACAACACCCACATTTGTCAGATTCGCCAGCAACAAGAATGTCTCAATCGACGAAGACCTCTGCCTCCTCAACGACAAGAAAAAATAGCGTATACCATAAAACTTTAATACACAAAGTGTTTCAGCTCTTGAAACGATTTTAAGAACATTTCCTTTTCCAGGTAGGCCGAATCTGTGGTTGAAAAAATAACAAAATAGTGGCTCAAAATTGATTGATAAAGGCAGAAATAGTTTTTTGGGGATTGACCAAAAAATGTTTGAAAAAAATGAGTTTGGATCTAAAAGAAGAAAGAATTTGATGGTGTGAGAAAGATATGAATGGTATTGAATATATGACTTTAAAAATGACAGAAGAAATGAGCGTGAAAGATGAGGAAGCAAAACATACATGGCCGAAAAATTTATTTTCCGGTGAGGAGGAATCGTTTGGGAAGATGAAAACAAGTGGGTTGGGGGTTCTCGTTTTATTTTATTGGGTGTGGAGATTAGGAGAAAGAAAATGGTGGTAGGTGTGTTCATTGGGTGTGGAGATTAGGAGAAAGAAAGCTGTGTTTTTTCGTTTTGGCAGATAAGACGGAAAGAGAGGTGGGGGGTTTGGTGGGGGGGGCACTTTGGCGAGTGAATTACACACGTCTTATATGGTTGGCTGCTTATTAATTTTATGTTTAAATGACACATTTGAGATATGATTGAAATGAACAAATGGAACGGACTTAAAAAAAGTATTTAAGTGGAAAAAAATTATCGTTTTGGTTCACTCAATACTAACTATACCCAAAAAAAAAAAAAAAAACTCTACCAAATTTTAAAGAATATTAAATTTAAAAATATTTATTAGTAGTTATATTAATATAAAGTATAGTATCATATAATAATATAATAGTACTTCATATTTTTAGGGATCGTTTGGTTGGAATATGATTTATACCGGTATAAGTTATGCCGGTATAAGTTATATTGGGATAAGTTATGCTGGGATTAGTTATGCTGGGATTGTTGTTTATTCATTGTTTGGCATGTTGTATTAAGAATGACAATTGCATAATTTCTAAGAAGAAGGGGTATAAATTATACCGGTGTTAATTACCCCACCTTTTATAAGGTATAAGTTATCCCGGTGTTAAAATTAATACCGGGATAACTTATACCTAGTTTAGTAATCAAACAGAGTATAAGGTGATACTAAATTTTTATACTACCTTTATACCTTCTTATACCTTATACCAGACGACCCCTTAGGGCTTTAAACATTTTAGAAGCCTAAGGCCATGGCTTCACTTGCAAATCCTAGAGCCACCCTTTTACAGTAAAATTTTCATGTGACTGTATATTTCCGCGCCACCCATTGAATTTGTACCAACCTTTTAAAAAAAAAATAGTTGATATCCAATTTAATTTTAAATTTTTGTATAAATACACGTTTCTCTTCTTCTTTGCAAATGCTTTTCTTTGTACTGAATTGTATATTACATTGTTGAAGTCCCAAATACAAGTTCATATTAAAGATTCAATATGATTGAATTAGTTAAGATTCGAATTTCAAGAACTTTAAATTGAATTTCCGAAATTACATTGAAAAGATTGAACTACTACAACTTGTACATTTTGCAATATTTTGTACAATGCAGCTATAACTTCAATAGCGGCCCTAAAAATGGGTATATATAGTAACTACTAATCTAAGCTAAAGGAGAAAAGAAAAAAAAAGCAATGGAGGAAAATGAAGCAAAAACAGATGATATCCATTCATAAGCTGATCATTATCTGTTATATATAGCTACAAGTGGCCACAAACAGCTGTTAGCCACAACATCATTCTGTAACTAGAACTATGAAGCTATTCTTCTGCGGCTAAACTCGAGATCCACAACTTGTAATATTTGAACGATGCATCCATCATACACCAATTTAGCTTACCGCAAGCATCAAAACTGGACTAATTCCAACATTCATGCGATAGTAAAAAAGTAGGCCACCACGGCCACTTCGTTTACCCGTATGCCTGAGCAAGCACTTCCTTCCATCCAAAGACAAGTTTGAAGACGAGGGTAACACCAAATACCCCGAAGAATCCATTGGTATTTTCTATAACATGATTCTTTGCACGACCGCTGGGGCGTTGAGCTAAACCCATACGTTCAGCAGTTATCGGAATCATTTATACGACCAGCCTTGCAAGGAAGACAACTTGAACCAGGAAGAGGTAGACAGTTGCTCAAACTAAACATAAACTACCACTTGTCGCTATATCCTAACATGATCAGTGCCTAAACATTTTATTCAGTACCTAATGTAAAAACTTGGGGAGAATGCGCTAAACGGCCCTTCTCCTTTTGCCAGAACCATTTGATTGTTGATGTTGAAAGTTCTGCATAGAGGAGCAACTAACAACAGACTCTAACACCGCAGAATCAAATGGATTCTGGAGATTTTTCGCCGGCCAGTAAAGTCCAGAAGCTGTAGGTGGCGAAGGAATTCGTGGCACATCCCAACATGTCTCCGGCACCTCAACTAAGCACTCATCACCTTCAACTTCAGCATCTCTTAAGATAGGGGAGCTATCTGATTCTCCAACCATTCCATCGTCAGCCTGATAGATTTCGAGTAATGAAAAAACTAAAATTAGGTACCCCATTGAAACGGGGGTAAAAAATATTAATAGCCCATTGAAAAAACTGAGACATACAAGCATGATATTCAATCTACAGTACAGGTTGTCATCAAAGAGGCAATTCAACAGGAAACTACAGATAGGTGAAATAACAAATATGATGCACGATAGTGCTTTCCAACTACCTCAGTTTCACCCGTCTTATCCTCGCCAAGAGATGGTAAAGTAAAACTCAGTTTTCACCTTAAATAAGATACATCCGCCGATATGCCACCACAGATAAAAATACAGATATATTTTGCACATAGGGACAATTTTTTGACAGCTACACATATTTTCGCATTAGCTGTAACCAGAAGAGTCTGACTACTCTTCATCTATCATCTCGATACTTCTCAAAAGTTAGAACTCCCAGCACCTGAGAGTCTGCCAAAGTGACATAGTTATCCACCAAGACAGCATTAGCAATCACAAAGTCTATGATCTTGGGGTGTCTGGACTTGGTGACTGATGCTGTTGGCATAAGGCTGGCAAGTTTGTACCTAGACCTGCCTTTCCCACTCCGAGATTTTATATGGTAGGTTCACACCTTCCGCGTAAGGTTTAGCTCTATTCAGCTTTAGCTAGTGGAACCAATAGATTAAGTTACCAGACACTTGCCATCAGATGCTTCCTCGTCTCCATATGAAAATGAATTCCTTGCAGTAAGTCAAGTCCTTATTGAGGCAGATACATGTACATACAACTAAACTCAAGAGCGCACATGACTGAAGCATGAATGCCACGCTAACAAAGCTGAAACTGAAGCTTCCCCGCATCCATATGGAAATGAACACCGTGCAAATGCCTTAGTACTGCATGTATACAAAATGACATGCACATAACAAAGGCATACAGGCCATACTCCAGAAGGAGTCCAGAAGGAGACCTTTATGTGTATCCGCTGGTATATACAGCGTGTAACTCTACACTGGATGATGATAGACAAAATACGATCATGTAGAGTAAATTCAAAGATAAAAAGAACTGAAACCCTTATTATCAAAAGAATGAGGAAAAGGGATAAGACATAAATCATACCTTAGATGATCCACACTCCATGTATCCGTAATTCTGATTGAAATCACCCATTCCAAGAAGTTCATCAAACTGCCATTGTGGAATGATTCCAGCCGTAGCACCTCCAACCAATGGAAGAATACCAGGTGCAAAATCCTCAACCCCACTAGGCCGGACCGGTAATAAGTCATTACACAGAGCATTTGATGAAATTGGAGGAGATTCTTTCTCCACCGCCTTCTTAACAGAATGTGAATTCCCTGAGGATGCTGATGCAGCAGGATTGATAGGTTCAAGTCCAACTTTGACTCCGGTCAGCAAAAATCTTCGATGTGCCGAGACATAAGCATTTGCTGTGTGAATAGAAATGTCACATTTTCGGCAGAGCAAAGCCCGATCCTCAAGGCAAAAGAAATAGCCAACAGTTTCCTGTACAAAATAGCATCTCTTACTGTCGGTACAAAAGTGAAATTTCTTTTGGAAATAGGCATGAATTATGTACGAGCTCAATGATGCTGAAGCATGGATACATATATATATATTTTTTGTGTCATTTTGTGAATTGCGATCATGACATGTAGAAGTGATGAAGATTTTCATAGGAGGAGGTGGGACTACTCTTGTTGATCTGATAAAATATAACTGCTTTAGCGCAACAACATATGCCTTGCCACGTGTCCCTGGCTATCAGGAAAAGTTCCATGAATTGCTTTCTCCTACAATTAATTCCCAGGCAATGCAACTTTGCAAGGACGTAAAAAGCTTTAATAATCCCCTAGACCTTGGCTGCTAACCATTCTTACACTGTCTGAATGAAAGTCACCAGCATGACGATGATGCTCTACGAATGCCAGCCCCTAAAAATGAGGGCTCCATCATTAAGAATCGGACACCTTCTGCTTTCCTCTGCTACTCGAAATGGAAAGGCAGAATATGAAAAGGAACACTATATCAAGTCCGAAACACCGGAAAGTAACACATTGAACTTGACATGGCCAGGGGCGGAGCTAGAAGCCCGGCTACGAGTTCGGCTGAACCCGGTAGCTTTTGCTCAAATAGCATATTTGTGTTTAAAAATTCATTAAATATGTGTAAGTATAAAATTAAAAACTTAGCTATTAGCACTCGAAGTCGTTTTGAAATCCAGAACCCTCGAAGTTGCAATCCAGGCTCAGCCTCTAGACATTGATACCAGACAAGTCAAGAAGAGAAAGGCAAACAAGACAGTTCTCAGATCTACGCAAGCAGCATACTAAGGTGAGAAAAGAAATGCACGTTCAAGTTCCACTTGCATCTAAACCTGTTGAATAAGTGTTTCAATCGAATAGAGCACTCTATTTTTTACTGTTCTTGACTTAGTTTAAGGCTGTTCTTTGGTCCTTAAGAATCTGATTTCAGTTGAAAGCACAACTGTTAGTACTAATTACTATTTCAGCATGTTTCTGTGCTCTTCTCAATGCATAAAAAGCATTCAATAATACTCCAAAAATTTCCGCCCAACAAGTGTTTGATATATCTCCTCTTTCATTTTCTTTTTAAATAAGGAAGTGTTTTGACATATTTCCTCTTTTAACTTGCTTGTTGTGTCCTCCTTACTTTGCAGTATTTGTACTGTTCTTTAAGTAGGCATTTGGACATAAGAATTGTGAAATTCAAAAAAGTTCTGAAAATTTTTTCCAAAAGCAAAATGGTATTTGAAATTTAGAGTTGTGTTTGGACATAAAATAAATTTCAGTTTGGGTTGTTTTTGAAGTTTTGTGAGCGAAAATTTTGAAAAATAGCTTTTTGCAGTTCTTATCGAACTAAAGGACAGGAGCAGCGACCCATAATCATTGACGAAGAGGAAGGCTTGGAAAAAGTTCTTCAAATTTTGGAAATGCACCTTCAAATTGAAAATTGAAAATTTTACATTTCGAAGAAAAAGTGAAATTTTTTTCCATCAAATTTTATGTCCAAAGGGGCACTAAGTATCGAGTGTCTTTCTTATCGTCTTTTCTCCAATAAAGCTCTGAAGTCGAAGAGTGACGATAAGTTCCCCTCTATTGGAACGTATCTTCCTCCGTCATTCCAATTTATATGATATTCTTTCCATTTTAGGACGTCCCAAAATATTCCACATTAATCATTTCTATGGTCTTCTTTAGGCCTTTTTCTCTTTCTTTTTGAGTTTTGAAGTGGGAGGGACGGGAGGGGAATGCCAGTATGTTGCAAAGGTCAAAGGTACAATATAGTTGAAGGTAACTAATGAATGAATAACTATAGGGCCTAACTATTATTATCCCAAAAAAGAAGAAGGAGAAAGCGGTACTGCAGCAGCCAGAGTTTAAGTCAAACGTAAATACAACTCCCTAGCTCCGTTTCAAATTATATAATGCAACAAAGATATTTCCTTTGATCCAATTACGGTATCCGACAGACAAAAACCAACAACAGATACAGCAACTATACACTCGAGGAAATACATCGAACACAGGACGCCTCAGACTATACGAACTCAACAAACTGAATATAGAATAAAACTAGCAATAGAAAAATAAAACTCAATGTTACCTGGCAGATGTCACACTTGGGCATGGGTGAAGATGAAGCAGAAAGAGAAACTCTCTGGTGCTTACTAGCAAGTTTATTTGCAGCATGAACTTTATCATCACATGACCAACAAAGAGCTGCCTCGTCCGCACAGCACAAAACCCTCGCCTCTGCTGATTCACACGCGTTACACTGAATCTTCATCCTTTTAAAAATCCACCTTTCCACCCTCCAAAAAAACACAAGCAACAGAGAAAGAAACTACGATCTGCAAAGTGAAATGGTGAAAAGGGGTTGTGGGAAAACTAAAGGGGATGTCATCTGTGTAATAAAGGAAGAGAAAAATGGTGCCTGCCACAACTGCCAAGAGGCAACTTGGATTTAAAAGAGGTGTGTAGTGAGGTGCCGCAGACTGATGTCTTTAACGGGGTTTACGGTTATGTTCCCGAAATGTTGGATTTTTTGGCAGAAAGGCGGTTGGTTGTACACGTGTCAGATGCTAGTGTGTTAACCAGCTGAGCTGGTTAGGGCTATAAGGGGATATCTGGCAGTGTCACGCGCTTGAGTCAGACTCACAAGTGTTGGTCTGAGTTGGGGGAATTGCTGAAATTCGAAGCGTACCGAAGAATCTTTATTTGTGGATAAACAACAAAACTGTGACATCCTCACTAAGCTCAAAGATAACATGAATCTTTATATTTTTATATGTAAGGGTGCTGTTTGAGGATTATAGGCAGGAAAAAAGGGCCCGTGAACAACTACTCCTACTTGTCAGTGAGGAGACTCAAGAGTCAAGACCGCCTGTTGGTGTTACGATGAGACAGATTGTCAACAGTTATGCTGACGAAGCGTCCACGCGTGCGAGAGTCTGTTTGGAGTAGGGGAGTGCGAGGAATTATTTGGTTTAAAATTGCAGGATTAACATTGGGTCTGGATAACGTGTGCCCGGAATTAGATTCGGAGGTTTCTAGGTTGATTTGGTACCTTTTGATGAAAGTTGGCAATTTGAAGGTTTAGAATTTTCATAAGTTTGATCATGGTTTGACTTTATGGCTATCGGGCTTGGATTTTGGATTCGGGACTTGGAATAGGTCTGTTTTGTCGTTTGTAACTTGTCTGCAAAATTTGGTGTCATTCCGAGTTGGTTTGATAGGAAACGGACGCATGGTTGTGTTTCTAGCAATTCTTGAAGTTCATTGTGATTTTCATGTGTTTTGGTTCAATTCGTGATTTCGGATATTATCTTGATGTTTTGATCGTCCGAGCGAGTTCGTATAATATGTATGTACTTGTGTGAATGTTTGGCGTGGAGCCCTAGGGGCTCGCGTGAATTTCGGACGCATTCCGGAGTGTTTGAGAGAGGTACAGATTTTTGCTGGTGTTCTGTGCCACCGTTTTTGCGAGACATCCTCTCTTTTGTGATTCTGGGTTGATGGGGAAGGGACTTTGCATTTGTGAGGATTTTGTGGCATTTGCAAATTCTAGAGGTTCGCTTTCGCGAGATGATTGTCGCTTTTGTGACAAGCCGCTGGGGGGAAGAACTTTGCTTTTGCCAAGTTTGTTGTCGCAAATGCGACATTTGCAGGGTCTGGCTTGGGTCGCTTTTGCGATCCTTTTTCCGCATTTGCATATCCCAGATCACGAATGTGACACCTACAACTTGTTTATAGCTTGGTATTTCGGGACTTTAATTTTATTTATCATATTTTAGAACCCTAGATTCGGTAGGAGGCGATTTTGAGGAGGGATTTTCACATACAACTATTGGGTAAGTGATTTTGATTTAGCTTATTTTGTTGTAATGTTTTAGTTCAAGGCCCTGAGCTTAATTTGGCACTACTTAATGAACTCTCTTATGCTGTTTACATGGTTCTCACATAATTTTTATCATCGACATAGTTCATTTGTCTTGATATTTATTGTGGTTCATTTGTCTTGATATTTATTGTGCTTGTGTTGTAGCCTCGATGGCCATGAATCTTGCATTAATTGTGCTTGGACTGTCTAATAGCTTTTTGTTTTTTCCCGATGATGCCAAAAGGTGGAAGATAGAGTTGGGAGGTGATTGATGTACTGGTCCCAATGTGTTTGTACTGTGTTTACATGTTGTTGTTGATGTGATGTGAGTGTTTATGAATGCCATTACCTGGTTCATACGCACAAAGTTTGTCATCAACAAAAAGGCAGAATTTGTTGAGAATTGGGGTTTTGATGATTAACAAAGTGTGTCCTGTAAACATATGCTAAGAACCACGTCCTCAAGGTGGCCGCTGAAGTATGCTAAGAACCAGGTCCTCAAGGTAGTTGTTGAACGTTCTTACAAGGTAGTAACTTTTGTACAAAGTTACTATAGTCCGAGATTGCTAGAAAAAGGCTGCTAATGCAATAAGGACAGTTTTCCAAGATTATGTGCTCGCATAAGGGATAGACAAGAGCTACAAGATTTGTGGAGTCCTTGGAGATTTAGGAGTCATATCAAATGAGATGTTGACCGTGTGTAGGACTCTCAAAGATCTCACAGTACTGGGAATTAAATACTTTCCTGAGGGATTGAGGACATTATCCTTTTGCACATCAACTGACGAACTACATTTCAACACTCAAATCGATCGTTGGTGTCATTGTTCTTCTTGAGTCTGTTAGTTCATGTGTATTAGGAAATCGAGTTGTAATCAAGAGGTCGTTCATAATATGTCAGTTGGAGTGATTATTTGAGCACAGAAGTTAGAGTAACTTGTAATTCATTCAAATAGTTGAAGTAGAAGAAGTGTGTGTATTGGTTTACAGGTATTGTAATCAGTATTTGGCTCATTTGTTCTAGTGCAGTTGAAGTTAAAATCCTACGTAGTAGGTCATGGTTTTTGCACCTTTGAGCCGGGTGATTTTCCACATAAAAATTGTTGTCCTTATTTTTACTGTTTATTTCATTTACGCGTAAGGAGTTAGACAAAGAACCAAATTCTTTAGTAATTTAGGAAGGCACTCAAAATAACATCAACCAAGATCCACATGTGGCCTAAACATCATCGATTTTGTTTTTGGAGCAAAGCAACCATCACAAAGTTACTATGGGCCATTTCATAGAAGAAGGACAGATTGTGGGTCTAATGGATTCACAATTGGTATATAAAGAGGAATGATATCAATGTTATAGATGTTCCAAAGCAAGCTAGTTGGTTAGTGAGTAAGATTATCTCTATAAGAGACTGGCTATCTCCAGATATGTCAATACTAAACTCCTCTGTCTCATGTGAGAAAGCATATGTATCCTCAATACCACAGCTTCCAAAGGTCCCCTAGAAATCACTTGTTCTGCTCCCAGGGATTATACCAAAGCATCAATTCATTCTTAGGATGACAATGCACCAGAGGCTTTGTACAGTGGATAGATTAAGTAACTGGGGTATTCAAGTACCTACAATGTGTGTATTGTGTTCTGATGATGCCACAAAAATACATTTCACTTATTTTTTGGCTGCTCATACTCTATCTACATATGAAAGAGGTTATTACTATGGCTTGGCATCAATAGATAGATTGGACATTAGGAATCAGAAGTAGAATGGATCTCCCAGAAGGTGAATAGCAGAAATCCTACATGTACCATTCTTGGGTTCCTATTTACAACTGTTGTATATCACACTTGGATGGAGAGAAATGCTGGAAGATTTCAGCAGACTAACACAGACAATGTTGCAGTTACATAGTGTAGAACAAAAAAAACTGTAAATGGAAGTACATTCTGGATACTTTGAATAGGTTCCCTTGATAGCAGATGCAATGTTTTACCAAATGAGATACTAGGTTTTAGACCCTAAATAGGTACGTTAGGAAAGTCTTATAGTCAATTTACTTGGGTTTTTTTTATTTGATCCTGGCTCTTGAGTCCAAAGAGCAAGTATACATGATTATACTTGGTTGCATAAGGGGGTGTTTGGTACGAAAATATTTTCTAATTTTTCCATGTTTGGTTGGCCTAAATGTTTTGGAAAATATTTTCCTCATGAACTTATTTTCCTCTAATTTTCAAAACTCCTTCTCAACCTTCCCACCCTATTCCCCATCCCCACCAACACACACCCAACCCCAACTCCAATCCCCGCCCCCGGCCCCACCTACCCACCCCACCCCTTCCACCCTAATAGTAATTTCTTTTCATGTTATAGATAAATTATTTTTTTTCATTTCAACAAATGAGTTTTTTTTCATGATATACAAAAATATTTTTTTCATTTTAACAAAAACAAAATACTTTCTTTTCATATAGAAAAAGTATTTTTTTTCATTTCAACAAAAAAGTATTTTCTGTTAAGAAACTTAGCTCAAAGTAATAATATGAAACAAGCAAATAGACAAGAATGTAGAGAGAAAGAGAGAATAGATTCTTATTTTTTCAAGTGTTTTCAAGTATATACAATGTGATGCCCAAACCCTCTATTTATAGGATGATATAGGTAAGACAAAGGGATGTCATAAATATGGTATTAACTATTGAGAACATGGGGGAAGATCATGGAGGTGTGGGAGTTACATCCATAATGGTAAGAAGTAGTGGAAGGTTAATGGAGAAGAGTAGTGGGTGTTACTCCTTTAGGAGTTATGGACATCCACCATAATCAAGTATTTCATAACACTCCCCTTTGGATGTCCAAAGATAATGTGCCTCGTTAAAACCTTACTAGGAAAAAACCATATGGGAAAAAATCCTAGTGAAGGAAAAAGAGTACACATATCTTGTAATACGCATTACTTGCCGCCTCATTAAAAACCTTGCCAGGAAAATCCAGTGGGATAAAACCTTAGCTAAGGGAAAAAGAGTACAACACATATTTGTCTCCCCCTGATGAAAATATCACTTTATTTCTCGAAGACGACGAATTCCAAGATTGTCTAACAATTTCTCTAATATTGAGATCGGCAATGCCTTGGTGAATTATTCCGCCAAATTATCACTTGAACGAATTTCTTGAACATCTATTTCATCATTCTGTTGAAGATCGTGTCTGACAAAGAACTTTGATGAAATATATGATTTATTCTGTCTCCTTCAATATATTCTTCTTTCAATTGAGATAAGCAAACATCAGCGTCTTCACTATTATTGGAATCTTCTCTTCAAAGAAAAGTCACACATCTTGTGAAATGATAATATGACAATTTCTCACATACAAATAGATTGTTTGAAGAACGGATTTCAATAAATGCCTGCATTTGCATAAACAATAAAACCTTGACAATATTTGTTAGAATGAACAAATCTATATCAAGGATTCCTTTGCAATATAATACTAATCATATTTCAATATCTCCATATAGCCTTTATACTTTCAGCTGTTGGGACTATTCGTCTGACTTTATATTTTTCAGATGAAGTCAATTTTCATTGCATATTTATCATTTGGCCAATCATTTATCTGTCCAAATTCCATGACAGATTTGAGCTCAAGATCCTCGTGAATATTAATAATATTGAGTGCTACATTATATTAACAACATCGTCGACGATCATTTTACATCGGTTCCATCATGACACAATAAAGACATAACTTATCGAGATCTCATTATTTTCAAGTACCCGAGCCTCTCCCATGAGGTCTTATAAAGTGTTATGTCATGGTGCTCCTATAAAGCACTTGCCTCCTTATTATGACTATCTTGAACATTTGCTCCCTCCTTCTTCAAGGAGTTTTATCTTTGGAACCGATTTGTCTATTACGCTTCATGCGTGCCATAAACTCTATCCATCATGGACGTTATTCTATTTGGAGCATTAGCAGCTGGAATATGACATTTAACTTTGGGTCAGCAATGTGCTTGGAAATATTTTAGAAATGAATTATCACTTGAACTTCAAGTTCACATTTTCTTGTACGAGGATCTAGATGTATTCATAATAATTCATTTCACGTATCACATTTTCAGCTGCCCATTTTCTCCCCCTAATGTCGGGATGACCAACACATTTTTCAACCTTCTTTGGGAACCCATCTTTGTGCATTGTGGCAGCACAATTAAATCAGATAGCACATCCATATTTCTAGATGGGAATATTTGGTTCCTGACCGTGAAACAATTGTGATGGGGAGAATTTATCATAACTTGTTGGCTAGATGCGTATAAGTGCTGTTGTATATTAAATAATACACCTCATACCAAGTTTTTATTTGGGAGTTTTGTTCTCATAATCAATGGTTTAGCTATAATTGGAGGCATACAATTTTTGCTAAACCAACTTGGATTTATACCAGCATTATCAAGATAAATTATCATATATATTCTGGAACTGTGCTCTAATAATTTGAGCAAACAACCTTGCAAAAACCAAAGTGCAAGTTGATAACAAACGCACATGTGACCATACAATAGATGCATCTATTAAAATCATATAATAGTAAACGATCCACATGGCAGGTGACTGAGCCCATATATATATCACCTTCTATTCGTTCCAGAAATCAAGGGATTCAGTCCCAACCTTAACTGGTATATCATGAGAATAAGCAGCACAAGATAATTCTTGAAGAATCTTCTATTTCTTCAATATATGCCAATGTGAATTCTCAATTAATTTTCGCATCAATAAACCGGGATGGCCAACCGGTCATGCCAACTGATATTTATTTCAGTAAACATTTAATTTACTATGGCATGTGATTTCATATCATGCTTATACATCTGTAGTACAAATAGAAGAAAAGTCGGGTAACCTTTCATATTTACCCGGTATGTTATAGTAATATGAAGATAATCGATCTTCCTTTCATTTATAGTCTCAATATGCCAACCACTTTGGCTAATACATTTGAAACTCAAAAAGTTTCTTTTGAGACTTACTACAATATTAATGTCAAGAACAATTTCATTCATCCGGATAGTAACAAATTAGCTCTTCCGGAGCTCTTAATTGATTTTGTACTACAAGATCTTTTGTCACACCATCCATACGGTGAATGTCTCCTTCACGGAGAAAGTCATATCATAATAATTGTCATGGTCAAAATAATCATAAGCAAAATCATTTCTTGCTTTACTTTTGCCTTTAATAACTTTTTATAAGGCATGTCAAATTATTTTTTGGCGTACCACATGTACGCGACCATTGACATATTCATGTAATCACATAGTAATGTTCATGATCTTTCTTTCTCTCAAACCTCCCGTAGAGGTGAGTTATAGTATTTATTCAACCATGCATAAATACATTCTTGTGGATAATTTGTATCATATATATTTTTACACTCACTTTAGGAATGAGTCTGCATTTACAATGCTTATCACAAGTCGCATTCTTTCAAAAAAAATGGACTATAATCATCTGAGCGTGCCTCATATTTACAGACCAAATTGATACACAATTCCTTCACCTTTGAAGAATATTTTGAGAAACCTTATTGTTCTCCTTTTTACGATTACCATAATGATGACTATTATTATTTTGGTCTTTGGCACACCACTTTCATTGAACAACCACTTGTCTTCATTTAGACTTATTATGCACCGCTATCACATTCACTTCAAGAATGGAGCAAATCAAGTGGGATATTTCATGAAAAATATACTATTTTTCTTTAGTCATCATTATATCATCAATACGGTGTATTGGGCTCAAATCCAATGCCTTACCATATAAAGGCATGTTAGGCCAAATGTGTTGGGACTCAAACCCAACTCTTATCATTATAGTGAACCATAACATAAATCTGTTGTCTTACCCTTAACTAGTTGCATAACAGGCCAAAGTACAAGATTAAATTATCAATCTTGTGGTCAGAAACATAAACAAAATTAGTTATAACAAGATTTTAAAAATATAACCACTTTTTAAGGTTGCAGGATGAAAACGTTTCAGTCATTCTAAGTATTATCACTTTTAGAGTTACGTGTATTCAAATTAAAGTGCGTTCAGATAAATACTAGATAATCTGTTCGAGCGTTCACTAATTTTGTAAATGATAAACCAATTCAATAAACTAAGAATAAAAACTAGGACTTTGAAGCATATATATAATTCTTGTAGTACTTTCAGTATCTACACATGTGATCCAATTCACATCACAATATATAGATTATAGATGATAGTCAAAGGCTAAGATTGACCATAAATAAGAATACTTGTTATGCTTACAACTATCCTACCACAATATTATATTTTTTTTATACATGCATTTAACCAACTATGCAGAAATAGTACCAGCTTAGTTCTATTTATTAAATATTATCATTCTAACATTCATCATAGCATGAAAAGTGAAAAGGACACATTGGTTGTCTGGTATCTGCGCACATATATGTAAGCACTATTAACACTTTAAATGTAAGTTAAAGAATTGAGTAGAGAGTACCTGTTTCAAAACTTAATTACGAAATAAATATTCATGCATTTTGATTTGGTTCACGAATAGATACCTTGAAGGATAGCCCAACGACAACTAAAGATTCAATATAAGACGTCATGAAAGAATAGAGAAAAGTTGTATTCAAGGCTTGCGCACTTTCAAGCTATAACAACATGGAAATGAAATACTGAAAGCAGCTTATTGTGAGTTATCATGGAAAAATAGATAAATTTTGAGACTAGTGAAAGATAAAAATAAAAATATAAATAAGCTACAAAGATGAAAAATTATCTTCTATTAGTATCCAACCCATTAGCTTCCATCTTCATTTAGTTTGATAGCCATAGAATTGTTGGTATAAGGATAGCAAAACACAGAGTCTATGCTTATACGGTGGTGTACGAAAACAGGAGCACAGTCGTGCTGATAACGTGTTAAGAAACTTAGCTCAAAGTAATAATATGAAACAAGCAAATAGACAAGAATGTAGAGAGAAAGAGAGAATAGATTCTTATTTTTTCAAGTGTTTTCAAGTATATACAATGTGATGCCCAAACCCTCTATTTATAGGATGATATAGGTAAGACAAAGAGATGCCATAAACATGGTATTAACTATTGAGAACATGGGGGAAGATCATGGAGGTGTGGGAGTTACATCCATAATGGTAAGAAGTAGTGGGAGGTTAATGGAGAAGAGTAGTGGGTGTTACTCCTTTAGGAGTTATGGACATCCACCATAATCAAGTATTTCATAACATTTTCTTTTATGTCAATAAAATGAATACTTTATTTTTATGTTGTTGAAAGATTATTTTCTTTTTCAACCAAAAAAAGAGTATTTCTTTTTAGTTATGGAGCACAAATTTCAACGTTATTTTTGCATAAAAAAAGTAAAACAATACATTAGTTCCTTTGGGTTTATGTGAATTTTTCAGAGACTTGAGCCCGATGGTGGTGGGGGGGGGGGGGGTGAGGAGAGTGACATACAAAAATATTTTTCTAAAAATATATGTTATACTTTCTAACCAAACACTAAAAAATATTTTCACCAAACAAACAAGAAAAAATAAGTAATAAAACCATTCATTCTCGATAAAAACATTTTCCTTCGTACCAAACACACCCAAAATCTTTTAGTTTGACCAAAAAAAAAGTTTTGGTGAATGGTATCCATCAATACTACTACATTCATATTTCACGAGGAAATTTTAAATGCTCTGTTCTTTCTCTCAATCAAAAGTAGTCCAAAAGGTCTCTTTGTTTCACACGGTTAATAAGAAATTAAAAAGAAAAAGTTTATATGGGAATTGGGACATTAGTTAGTTCAAAACTCTAGCCAAAAAAAAAAACCATTATTATTTGCATATCGCGGTTCAGGTCAAGGAATCCGTTATAAAATGCGGTTCGGGTCATGGAATTCGCTATAAATTCCGAAAACAATTACGCTTTTTGCCGCCATTTCAAGCAAAAATTCAAAAATACAATTACGCAGCAGCATCAGATGATCAGATGATCGAGAGAGAAGCTTCAATTCGAGAATACTCGTGCTAGGTTTTCAACACTGTAGGAGGAGGCTTGCATTTCACCGTCAATTATCCGGTGCAAATTTCGAATTCGTGGAGGTTATCTGGAAGTTGTATGTATATCTCTATATAGTTTTTGAATCTCGCGATTTTCAATTAAATTTCAATTGCTTGAATCGTTACAATCTCGATTTTGTTTGTTATGTTCTGATTATTCAAGATTATTTCAACTACTGTAACTACGACACAAAATGAATGTCTTTGTCTGCGTTTTTCATTTTTTTTCCTAATATGTTGTTGATTATGTAAATATCTTCTTTTATGCAGTTTCCCTTTCATTTTTAGGTTTTGGATCAAAAGCTTTGCGGACAATCCAGTTATTGAGCTCGGCTGAAGGTGAAAATTTTGTTGTTCAAGCACTTGATATTCTGATTACCTGTTTGGCGATTTGAAAAAATATAAGATTGAAAGTTGAGTATTCATCAACATGATAAACTCTGTTTTTTCAATACATAAACTGGCAAGCAAATTTCACATGATACTTAACTCGTTTTTCTACTCCAGTTATCAAAACGAGTTTTGTGTGCTTCCGTTTAATATACTTTGGCTATCAAAGTTTATAGGCAGTTAGAGGTTTCAGCTATGGATATTCTAGCTGCCATTAGGCTGTTTTTGTTTTTCTTTCCATCAATCTTGTTTGAAATTGGATTAACCAGCTACAATTGGCTGTTTAGTGGATTTTGCCTCTGTTGTCATTTGAGAAGCAAAGTTTGTTTGGCAATGTTGTCCACTTTATTGTAGGGATATTAGTCATTTCTTACTGACTAGTTTTTGTGTGTCCGCGGCTTTAGAGTGAATGGGATCAGAAATTTTGTGCTCAGAATTTTGAATGATTCCAGAACGCTGTATAATGTGCAATGAAATTGACTATCGTTTCTTCAGTGTGAGATGAGATGCAATGCTTGCTGGCGTGAACTGGAAGGACAGGCCATCACCACCACTTGTGGCCACCTCTTCTGTATCCTAGTTTTTGTATGTGTTCCATATAGACATGCATATGTTTTTTGTGTTAGCTCCCAAAGGGGTGGCGTAGCGGTCAAAGAAATAGAGTGACAGTCTTGGAAATTAATTTTCGTATCCAAGAGAGGCGACAGTAAGTGAATTCTTCTCATTTTCCCAAGTCTTCGTATAATCTGGTACCTATATTGGTGAGAGATAGGAAGCACTTGGTAGATTGGTTGATGTGCGCCTAAGCCAGCCTGGATACTAGCGTTATTCCAAAAAAGAAAAATGCGTGTTCCATATAGGCATATATGTAGGGATGACAATGGGGTTGTGCGGGTGCGAGGCTGGGCTGGGCGGGTTTGAACCTATGCAGGTTTGGGCCTGTGCGCGTTTGAACCTACGCGAGGCCCTGCAGGTTTGGGCCTTTGCGGGTGCGAGGCGGGTTGATTTTATTTTAAAAAACTTCTTGCGGGTTGCGGGGCGACGCGGGTGTTGGTGCGGGTTTGGCCAAGCTAGAAACATATAATGATGATGCTAATCACGCAATAATGGATCGGGCTCGACAGAAGAGCTTTGACGTTACAACAATGTAGTGTTGTACTATATAATCCCAATATCATATTTGCACTCGTATGATTAATATGAGCTATCTTATTTTGGTAAGTATTAATATCAGCTTCTTCGCTCCTCCTTCTGCTTCTTCACTTGCAAACTTCAGCACATTCTTTTGTTGTCTATTTTAGTAGTTGTTACCTCTCAATTCTCATCATTGATGTTGATTAATCGTGAGTGTCTTAAATTCGTCATTTTTTGTATTGGTGGTTTTGATTTATGCATTTTCATCACTAAAACTGAAATAGTGAATTACTTGTTGGGAAGTTAATGATAAAGTGTTGTCATATATTTTTAAACATCTCAAATGGGAAGACAAAAAATTAAGAGGAATTGAGACATGATGAGTAGTGTGTGATAGTGCTTTAAAACCAATTAGCTATTTTCTTCTTCTCGCCTATTGCCCGAAAAAGAAAAACGAAACTTAGTAAAATAGTTTACAGTTGCACCCTCCTTAAATCCTTAACTGACATGGAAAATTCTAGTCAAAAGATTAAAAGAAATAGAACTTACAAAATGAAGAAAAAAAATTAAGCGGCGCGGGTGGACGGGGGTGTGGGTGCGGAGGGTTGGGGTGGGTGGTGTGGACGGGGTGAAAATGCTATACGGGGAGTGGCAGGTTAAAATCTTGCGGCTTAAGACAAAACCCGCACCGATTGCCATCCCTACATATATGTTCGTGCAGGTTTCTCATGTACATGATTTTGGTGTATGAATACTGTGATTCCTTAAGAACGCTTATAGGCAGGGATGATGCAAGTAAGATTCTCAGCAATGCTGCTGCTTGTCCTATCTGTGATCAAGTTCTGTCTAAAAGGTTAATGCAATCCAATATCTCTTTCATCTTGATGGTCAAAGTATTTTTTAATTAGTTCACTTAAAAACAAATGTTATCCTAAATTTGTGCTTTCTCTGGCTTCTTTTTCCTTTCTCCTTTTGATTTGTTTTCCTAATTCTTTTTTCTTAGTGGGGAGGGAGCAGGGTGTTATGACACTTCCAGAACATTGATGTTGTTTTCCACTGCTACATTTCATATACTAATTGGCTTTGTCTTCCAATTCTACTATCATTAACTAATCACTCAAAGTAATGTCTGGCATTTGTCGAATTGGCTGCTCTCTGACCAAGTCTGTAACATTTTTGCTTCTCAGTCTCATGAAACCTGTAGACGTCAATCCAAGTGATGAATGGACAAATGTAAGCATGGATTGCTCCCTTATCTTCTCACTTTCTACATTTCTGCTGACTTAATCTTTTTGTTTCTCACTCATTTCTTAATTAGCATTCTAGTTAAAATCTGTTAACATTCTCATGCAGATGGTCATGGCTGGAATATCACCACAGATATGTATCCTTCATCATCTGTCCTGTTTTGCAATATTTGTAATATTCAGATTTGCTTTTGAAACATAGTGAACTTCGGTTAGTTTAAATCAACGAACTACTTCTTGAATTGGACGTTAGATAATAAATACATAAATGTGGTATATACATTAATTTGATTACTTTCTCCTTAATCAAACCCAGTGATGAAGAGTGCCTACAGAAGTGTGACTTTCTACATAGGGCAAAAGGAATTGGAAATGCAAGTCAAGATGAACAGGCTAGGAGCTCAATATCGTCAGAAATGTGAGATGATGCAAGAAAAATTCTCTGAAAAGTTGGAGCAAGTGCATACTGCATACCAGAAGATGGCTAAAAGGTGCCAAATGAGGGAACAAGAGGTTGAGAGCTTATCTAAAGACAAGCAGGAACTCCAAGAAAAATTTGCTGAGAAATCCAGGTTTTACTTCCTTACAATCTTTAAGGCAGATTCTATTCCTTCCCTCCCCCCCCCCCCCCCCCTCCAGACCCCCTCCAACAACCAAAAAGAAATAGAAATCCAATGGTACTGCAAAAATGTGCTCTAATTATCCACTATAATTAATCTTTGGGGAGGTTGTAAAACTGTGCAGTGCTTTTCTACTAGAATATGTTATTGTTGATACTTGGTCTCAGAATTAATATTGCTCCTTATCAGGCAAAAACGAAAACTTGATGAAATGTATGATCAGTTGAGAGATGAGTATGAATCAGTAAAACGCTCAGCCATTCAGCCAAAACATTTCTTTTCGAGAACAGAGCCTGATTTGTTTGCAAATAATGCTGATATGATGGACAACAGAGATCACATGAGAAAAGGTAATCCTTTTGTTTTTAGAATAATTGCATGACATATCCGAGGCTGATGTAGTTTGGATGTGTTTTTCTTGGTGTACGAATATTCATCGTGAAAATTCTTTACATGCACAAGATGTAGTCTGCTAATATTTGAATACTGATTGTCAAAATTCGTAGTAATTTGGGTATTTCGAAACTGCATTAACCTTTTAGCAAAATATTAGTCGACTCATTTGTCGCAGATTGGTCAGTTCTCACTCCTGAAACTCCAGGGCCAAGAGAAGACATTTGGCCTCCAGCACGACAGAACGTTTCCAACTCCGGCCCTTTTGATGTCTTGAGTGGTTCCCCTGCAAGACAATCAGCAATGCCAGTGGATGCTGGAAACAGAAGGGCAGGTGCACGTCCTATGCTTGGTGTTGGAACTGGAGCAAGCAACCCTGCAACGACCCTTAGGAATCTCATATTTTCACCGATTAAGAGACCTCAACTCTCCCACAATCAACCGCAGATGTTCTCGTAAGCCACAAAATTTACCTCCAATTGTCTAATATGTTAAAAGCTGAATTCTTACTACAAATATTTAGTTCTCCAGGTTGTAAATCGGGAGATTGTTCGGTGTGAGTGTTTTATGCATTAAAGTGCAGATATTGATATGCTTAGCTGACTTTGCTTTAGTGGTGGGCAAAGTAAAGATAAGATGATGTAGAATAATGTTTAATAGTTTACAGACAAATGTATGATGTGATATGAGTTACAATATAATAGTTGAAACTTCTCTTACACCACTGAAGTGTAGGGTTCTAATTCCCACTAGTAGTCTTTTCTTCTTCTAATTGATAATGTGCTCAATATAGAATTACATCCATTTCTAATTGATTCAAGCTCACCAAGAAAAATTAAAATAACTCTAGTTGCATAATTTATGCTCTACCAATCCTGAAGCAGCTATCACCTCTTTTAAGCTTTACCTCCGTATAACCAGTCCCATAGTACTTCTAAGTGGAATTTCTCAAATAGTACTTCCAAGTCTTGCTAATGTTTTCTTTTCTTTCTAAGAGCCTGTTTGGATGGGCTTGTTTTAAGTGACTTTTAAGCCAAAATTGCTTTTACACCCACACCATGGCCCACTTCCCCCACGTCTCCTATTCTTTCCCAAACAAACCCATCAGAGAGCAAGTCACCCAACCCCACTTCCCCCCACCCCTTCTCCTTTTGTCAACCGTCTATGAGGGGAAAAAAAATTGTAAAAATTTATGCAAGCTTTATGGATCTTAAGGAAGAGTTTGTAAAATCAGAAATCTAAAAAGTCTGGTCACATTTAAGGAGGATGACAGGAATGAGGTTATATTATTTAGTCGCTGGACATTTCTTCCGGTCGCCGGATATGTTTCCGGCTTCCTTTCTCTCCCGACTCAGTGTACTGTTCGGGCTCTGTATTGGGGAACTTACTTTGGTTTCAAATCTGATAGAGCTTCTTGTTATTGTTTAATCTTTTAAAAAAATTTATTTACAAGATTAAAGTGAGCTCTATCATATTTAATCTCCATTATTACAGATGAGGAGTAAGTGAAGAAGAAGAGAGAAGAAGCAAAAGGAAAATGAAAACTTGGAGAGAAACTTAGTAATAAGAATAGTAGGAATATACATTTAAAAAAAGTGGCAGAATTAAATTTTTAATCTGTGATTTTTGTCTCTCACGATTTCTTAAGAGAATGTACATCACTCTCTGCCACATCGGCTTAAAAGGTGAAACTTTTTATACTTTGAATGCATATTGGGGGTGAGGGGGTATAGGACCCCGCGAAATACAAGAGTGCAACTGTCAGTTAGGTACCATCCCTGAGGTAATTATGTATTATCCCGCTAACTTTATTTATATAATCTCTTGATATCAACTGGGAAGGCGATAGAATTGTCAAAATTGGAGCTTTCTTGGACAATTCAGCGATATTCCATGTTGAAAAGAGCAGAGAAGATGAGAAATGATGAGAACCATCGATAGTCCTAGTGGCGAAGCTATGTGAATGATATTTAATGAGATCTCCTATACCATAACTGTTCATCTCTATTGGCCCATATGATTTTCTTTAGTAAAACAAGTTCAATCTCGTCTCTTAATAAAACTTTAAAAAAATATAAGAATACAAATACCCCTAACAACTTAAATAAAAGAATAACTTAATTAGGTGCTCAAGGTCCTGTATGGGTCAAAATCAAACCAGAGAAATTCGACATGCGGAGACAATTGTCATGAGTAACTTGCGAATCGAATTGATCAATAAGGTCGAGGTCGAGCAGTGATCAATAAGGCCGAGGCTGAGCAGTGATCTATAAGACCGAGGCTGAGCAGTGATCTATAAGACCGAGGTCGAGCAGTGATCAATAAGGTCGAGGCCGAGCAGTGATCAATAAGGCCGAGGCCGAGCAGTGATCAATAAGGCCGAGCAGTGCAGATAGAAGTAATAGCTAGTTTTGCTTTGGAATCTTCAAAGGGAATATTCTACTGAATATTCCCTCTAATTGTACTCTTTTTTAGGATTTTCTAAGGATATCCCTTATAAATAGGAAGGGAGGGGAACTTCTCTAAGGAGAAAAAAGGCAGACTCTCTCTCTCTAGAAAATATATAAACACATTTATCTAAATAGATTAGATTATCTGTTATCCCATACCCTCCATCAGATCCAAAATGGGTCCTACGATTCTCGTATTTGTCTATCATTCATCTTTATCAAATGAAAGAGGATCCGCCCCACTCAAGATTGGGTGAATCTTTTTCTTTATTTACATTTTATTGCCATTCAATGTTACTTAATGCACCTTTTTTCATACTATTAAATCTGGCCATAATCACTGCTAGCATTTATACTCAACTATATTTTTCTATTCATGTAATTCATCTAAGATCTAGAATTAATTATCCTTAACTAGGATTTACCCTCTATATTCTTATTTAATTAGCTTAACAAAAAGGTCCCATACATTTTTGGTCAAACAATTTGGCGTCGTCTGTGGGGATGTTCTAGTTAAAATTATAGCTTTCTCTAAATCACTAAAAATCAATTCTTACCCACTTTCTCTTTTTCTATATACATAGACTATGTACTTGAGGTAGCATATGTTACTTCTGCTCAGGCATAATATATATTGAAGTACTTTTTGGATACTTAACATAGAAGACTGGTTTCTTTTGAAAATCTTTTGTGATTATTGAACATGATTGAGTACTTCAGGTATTAGTACTGTAAACACTTTGCTTATACAAAAATGAAAGATTCTCTTCCAAAACTTGTTGTTCCATAATTAACATAGTGAATATCAACTAATTTTCTTATTCAAAGATGTTTGGTGGGAATCTTGTGGAGGATACTCTAAGCTGAAATGAATGACGTTATTGAGTTTCTTAAAGTTTTTAGGGACTTGTTTTAATAAAATCTCAACAGCCTTTACTGGTAAAATAAGTGCAGCAGCTTTCTCATCGGATTGTGTTGCGTTTGGTCCTGCTGCCACTCTACAACTTTGAAACAATTAAACATGGATATATCTAGGAGTGTTTGTTAAGTATTGATTGAATCGTGCTCAAATACTATCTATATGCGGGCCCAGCCGGTCGAAGAGGTAACCTGGGAGGCCGAGCAGGATATGCGCAGCCGTTATCCCTATCTTTTCACTAACTCAGGTATGTCTCTATGCTCATTCGAGGATGAATGAATGTTTAAGTGTGGGAGGATGTAATGACCCGGCCGGTGGTTTTAAGAATTAATGCCCCGATACCATGAACAGACAATGGAATAATAAGACATATGAGAATTCAAGAACATAGGCACTTCTAATACTTTTATGAATAGAGTCATTTATGGAAGTTGTGCATTTGCTCATTTGATTGTATCGTATGGATCATGCCAAAAGGAAAGAAGGGATAGCCTTAACATACCTGAGTCGATTCCCAAGGTCCTAACTAAATAGAACACAAACTCCCATTCCATCTATCATATCAGTCAAGCTCGACACTCCTCTAACACACGTTAATTGCGACAAAACAAAGAACAAGTTGTATGAAAAACTCGTTGCTTATGCAAAGACTATCTTGGCCCAAACCTCTCCTTAAGTAACTATGAGAAGCTTGAATTAAGCTCTTTAAAAAATGACGTTAAAAGGTATGGAAAGTTTTGTTGAAATTTGAAGAGATTAAGATTGTCATTCTTAACAGAAGCTTTAAGAGAAATTACGTTACTAAAGTTATGGAGAGTGTTTGTGAAAAATTCTTTCATAAGACAATCTAGTTATTATTCAACTCTTTTTAGGTGGCCCCACAATTAATGTTATGCGGCGCCTTCCTGAGATTCCTTGGAAGGGCGACGTAAGGCTAGGCAACTGATGTCAGTGCAGTTGCTGTCCGCCAACTGAGGTCCCCTCCGTACGCTAGACGAGATTGTCAGTGCCGTACGGGAAAACCGATGTCAAGAGCAATTGAGAGAACCGAAGTGAGAATTCAGAATGAAAGAAAGCTTGATTGCATTAATGAAAGCTATTACAGAAAAGCAACGCGGTGTCGAGGGGGAGAGACACCAGTACAGAGAATTGCTTGCTTGCTAGAAAGTTTTGATTGCTTGATCCCCCCTAATAGTACTTAAAAAAAATAATCCAAAGTTACAAGACTAGACTTGACTAAGCTAGAGAAACATAATGGAAGTACATGAAATAAAACTACTCTATATTTACAATGAAAA